ATGAATGTGTGCATTCATTATTTAACTGTGCCACTTATAATTATGCATAGCGCCCTCTATTGTCTAGAGCATATTGTAGAGATATGCATATTCATGTTGTTCATGTACAGCGCATGCGCGCTAGGGACTCAGGGCAATAAAGCTACCAGCCCTAGACTCATGGAGGTCCACAAACAAGCCGTGTCCGTCTCACCTTATTTCACCATCACAACATGGTGGCAGCGGTGAAAAAGGACCGAGATAGCATTTAACACCTACGCACGAGCAAACCACGCGGTTTCTGCGGTGTGCATTGCATCATATGCACAGTGCGTTGTATAGTACTCAACACTGCAACAACGAGACCATGCTTTCACACGTACGCACAGCGTGCGCGACGACACGTTGACGTGCCGCCATTGCATGTACTGTGGTGCTCATCACGGCTGTACAGAGACACGTTCCGGCCAGACATCCAGCCCCCTACCCGGTCACAACTTCCCCACATCAACCGACGACACCCCTCGACTGCCAGTAAAGGGCGAGACAAGGTGATAGCAGCAGAATTTGGACATAGCCATCGCATTAACCTACACATTCTGCCGAAACGACTTCGGAATTTCCAGCGTGTGCTGATCAGCTGCACTCTATCCATTTCGTGAGAAAATCATCGGGCCGATTTTCCGGACTGTACCCGTTTTCTGCAAGTATCAGCGGAGCGCTTGCAACAGGTGACCATCAGCAGTTTGAAAAGGGATCTCAAGCAAGAACTTTTACAGGCAAGAACTGCAACATTAAGACCTTGGAACTTTTGCTCATCACACATGAACTGTCATAAACGGTCCATCATTCATAGACATTGTTGGTTTACAATAACAATACTGTGTGTTTACATTATATGCATGTAAGATCGCCATCAGTTTGACCAGTGTTCATTTACAGTGCACACATTGTTTCATATTTTGTAACAATTGTTTATACTCGTGTGCTCAAAGAGTAATTGCATAGGCCTCCAACTTAGGTTTGTTGATGTATATTTGCCTGATTGCATTGTGCTTTGTGTCGTGCATAACTATGGCGAAATTCCCAGAGATGAACTGGGCTACAAAAGATGTGGGTGAAGAATTCAAGTTGTTCAAACAAAGGCTTGTTCTGTGCATGAAGGACAATGATGTAAACCAGGCAGATAAACAGGCACTAAAGATTAAAATAGCTGTTGGGACCGAAGGGCTAAAACGCCTTAATGCCTCATCAGGACTGTCCGAAGCAGACCAAGAAGACCCAGAAAAATGTGGGCGCTGTTTGAAAGTCAATTGAAAATCAGTGTGAATTTCCGAATCCATAGATTAGAACTTATGAGATACAAACAAAGGCTTGATGAAAAGATTGACAATTTCGTTAACAGATGCAGGGACAAGGCTAAAGATTGCGATTTTGCACCCGCAGAGCTCGATGAGCGCGTTGTTGAGCTGGTCATAGCTTTGACTCCCCTTGACGCATTCCGCCACAGTCTTTTCGAGAAACCGCGAGGCTACTCGATAGAAGTGATGCTAGAAGAGGGACGCCGCCATGAAGCTGTCGCGGCAAGCAAGCAATGCCTCGAGTTGCTTTCGGATAACTCAGCACGCAAAGCTGCAAACGATTCTGCATCAGTAGATGCCATGCGTTCGATGCGTTGTTCGCAAACACTGCGGCCTATCGCACTAACCCCGCAGCTGTCCCGCATATCATGATACGTGTAAATCATGCAGGATCAAGGGCCACTGGGCAAGATTTTGCCGAAAAGCGAATCGCGATTAATAAAGCCGTCGACCCAGCAGATCACGAAGCAAGCACCGCCGCCAAGCGCGTAGCACATCTAGGTCACAAAGACCCCGCAAGAAATCGCCGAACCGTGGTAGTTCCAGGGCCAATGACTACAAGAATGACCAACGGGAGCAGCAAGACCTCATTAACGACGATGACCTGACCCTACCGGGTGACACATTTAACTCCATCACTGTGTCCAACATGTGTGTCACTCTGAGACAGCTGCAAGGGCCTACCGAAGTCTTCACTACACTAGACGTCGTTTGCCCAGATCGACTCGGAAGACACTTCCTGAAAGTCAAAGTGGACGCAGGAGCCAGCGCCAATACACTACCAGTCCGTACGATGCAACAAATCTACGGTAGCCGATGGACGTCACTAGCCTCACCAACCGACACGCAACTCACTGCGTATAACGGTTCTAGATACTAGAATAACCTGCCATGGATACATACACCTGATGTGTAGTTACAAGGGTGGCGATTGGTCCCGGGAGAAATTCTTCATAGTTGATGTACCCGGTCCTGCCGTTGCTGGCCTGCCGATGAGCAGAAAGCTACGACTAGTAACGATACATGCAGTATCTTCCAGCCACAACACACACTCGATGCCTCAACCAGTAGTTACAGGCACACCTCTCATCAAGACGCACCGCATCCAAGGCATTGGCAATCTTCAGAAGTTGTACCCAACACAGTTTGACACACTAGGCAACTTCAAATCACAAGCACATCTCCATCTGAAAGAAGACGCCCACCCCAGCATAGACCCACCTCGCAAGTGTAGCGTACACCTTAAACCCAAACTTCAGGCTGAATTGGATAAGATGGAACGTGACGGTGTCATCCGTAGAGTTACACACCACACCGACTTGTGCAGCTCCCTGACGACAAGCGTAAAAAAGGATGGTTCACTCCGACTCTGTCTGGACCCAAAGCGTCTGAACGACAACCTCAAGCGGTGTCCTCACAAAATACCTAAGTTAGAGGAGCTGAATCCCGCATTCTCTCAAGTGATGTTTTTCTCAAAGCTTGACGCTAAGGCTGGCTACTGGTCTGTCCACTTGGACGATGCATCCAAAGAGCTGACAACGTTCCGCACACCCTTCGGGCGATATTGTTTTCGTCGACTTCCATTCGGTCTTTCGGTAAGCCAAGACATATTTCAGCAGTGCATGGATAGCATCATTAGCAAGGTACCAGGCTGTGTTGGCATCGCTGAGAGTGAGCACGATGCCAATCTCCTTCACCTCATGGAGACAGCCACACGCAAAGGCCTCGTCTTCAATAGTAGCAAATGCCATATCAAGACGAAGCAGATCAACTTCTTTGGCTCCCTATACTCAGCTAGTGGTATTCATCCTGACCCTGGCAGAGTTGCCAACATACATGCCATGCCAACTCCGCCAGACGAAGAAGACCTGCAGAGGTTCCTCGGCATCGTCAACTTCGTGTCTTCATACATTTCCAACTGTGCCAACAAAGCCGCACCCTTGCGAAACCTACTGCGGAAGGATATCCCGTTCATATGGCAAGATGACCACCAGGCTGCATTTTTTGCACTCAAGCACTCCATCACAGCCAAGTCATGCCTTCAGTGTTATGACCCAAAGCTGAAGACCACCCTCGAGGTTGACACCTCTCAGAAAGGCCTCGGTGCCTGCCTCATCCAAGATGGAAAGCCAGTGGCATTCGCATCTAAGAGCCTGTCGACTTCCCAATCCAACTACTCCAACATCGAATGGGAAACTCTTGCCCTGGTTTTTGGTGTAATCAAGTTCCACACATACCTTTTCGGTTGCCGCTTTTGGTGCTCGACGACCACAAGCCGCTTGTGACCATATGGAACAAACCACTAACCAGTGCCCCACTACGTCTGCAAAGACTACTAATCAAAGTGCAAGGGTACCAGTTTGACTTTGAGTACAAGCCAGGCAGCACCATGGTGATAGCCGATGCACTGAGCAGACTCCCTAATCCGACTGATCATGATGACGTACCCCAAGATGTTGCCGTCGACGTTCACAGCATTGAACAGCAGATAAGCACCCAGCAACTAGACTTGGTGCACTTTGGCGCAGCCAAGCAGGACGCCCTCCAACGCGAGACGGTCAAGGACCCAGTCCTCAGAGAGCTATAGAGATTCATATACGCTGGCTGGCCTGAATCAATCAAGGATGTACCTCGAGACATCCGTCCATATTGGTCATTCAGAGATGAACTAGGGCTGGCCTCTGGTGTCATATTCAAGGGTCGTCAAGTAGTCATACCTGAATCAATGAGACAAGACATCCTCGCCCAACTCCACATTTGTCATCTCGGCATCGAAAAGACGAGACGCTTAGCTCGCAACTCAGTCTACTGGCCGAACATCAATGACCACGTCAATCAACTAGTCAAATCATGCCAATCATGCAAAGTGCATCAAAGCCGCCAACGGAAGGAACCACTCCAACCTCATGATGTACCTCTCACACCATGGTGGTGCACAAACTATCTAACACGTCAAGCTCATCTGTCGCTCTAAAAACAGCAGCAACGTTCAGTATCTTTGGCGTGTCAAAGGAGATAGTCTCCGACAACGGTCCACAATTTGTTGGACAACCATACAAAACCATGTGTGAGGAATGGTCGGTCACCCATGTTGTCATGTATTTACGTGGGTTATTCCGGGGAAATAATGTCAACAATGATACTGGGGGCTGCCATATTGGAAAGGTGATTTATTATGCTCACGTGACCTGACGTCATAACTGAGTTGATTATCAATGGGCGCATAAGTGATATAGTTCCAACATACAGTTCCGGTCATGCACAATACATTACACTTCCTCCTCACTATTCAGATGATTATTTAAATGTTAAGCAAACTCCATATCATGTTTTTATGTAAGCTTGTGAAGTGGCTGATAAATAATGCTGATGCAAGTAGCACTAAGCAGTTCAACAAGTTTTGCGAATAAATGCCGCATAATATGTGAGATAATAAACATTAATATAATGTCTATTTTGCATATATCCTGGATGAAATGGCAATTTTCATTTTTCATTGCAAACGCTTAACACAACACTTTTTTGTTCTCTTTTCTAAACTATCTACTTAACATGCTGGTCTCTAGACTTATAGAGAAAGTGCAAATACAACTTTAAGAATTAAACCTTTTAAACATAATGGTTGTACGTGTGTTTCAAGACGGTTTGTCTTTTAGACAGTCACAGATTGAGTTTATCTGGGGGTTTGCGATTGCGAGATGGGTAGCGGCGTTCCACTACTTTTGGGCTTGCTGGCAAGGGTGGTTCTGCTGGAGTGAGTGTTTCGCTAGGCACTGCTTGTTCTGGCGTAGCGGTTAATGATGCAGGGATGACTGGGTCTGGTTGAAGTATCTCTGGGACTGCATCATGTGGTGTGTTCAGATCAGGTGGTTTTCCGGTGTCAGAGTCGATGAGTTGGTCAACATGTCGGCACCAAATCATGTTTGGCCCAACACAAACTTGGTAGGACAGTGGACCAGATCGCGCATGTATGACTCCTGGGATCCATTTCTGCTTACCGCGGTAGTCGCGAACAGAGACTGTCTGGCCAATGTGAAACTCTCGGGTCACACTAGCAGACTTGTGAGATGTTGCTTGATCCACCTGCTTACTGCTAACATGGTTGCGAATGTTGGGTTTCAGAATGTCCAATCGCGAACGAAGGTTGCGTCCCATGAACAGTGTAGCGGGGGACTGTCCAGTCGTAGAGTGAGGAGCATTCCTGTATGCCAACAGGAAACTAGCCAGTTTGGCAGATGTGGTTCCTTTCTCCCCTGTCATTGATTTCATGGCTTGCTTGAATGTCTACACAAACCGTTCAGCGAGGCCATTTGTTGCGGGATGATATGGGGCAGATGTGATGTGTTTCACACCGTTGCGCTTGAGGAACATCTGAAATTCATCAGATGTAAACTGGGGTGCGTTATCACTCACGAGTTGCTCCGGAACTCCATTTCTCGCGAAGATGGCTCTCAGAATATCAATGGTGTGAGAAGAATCGGAGGATTTGGTGCTTACCACTTCTGGCCATTTGGAGTGTGCATCCACTACGATCAAAAACATTTGACCGAGGAACGGTCCAGCATAGTCAATGTGGATACGTTGCCATGGAGACATGGGCCATTCCCATGTGTGAAGTGGTGCTGACTTAGGGTTGTGCTGGACTAGCTGGCATCCAGAACAACCTTTGGCAAGTTTTTCAATGTCACTGTCGATGCCAGGCCACCACATGTAACCGCGTGCGAGGGTTTTCATTTTGACAACCCCCAGGTGACCTTCATGTAGCTCGATGAGGACCTTGTCGCGTAGCTTGGCTGGCACTACAACGCGTAATCCCCACATGAGGCATCCGTTGTGTACGGAAAGTTCATGCCTACGTGCGTGGAATGGATTCAGTTCAGAGTCGTGGGAGTGAGGCCAGCCCTTCATAGTGTACTCGTAAGCTTTGGCGAGTACGACATCGCGAGCAGTTTCCTTGCGTATTTGGGCACTGGTGACTGGCAATGTGTCGAATTGCGACAAGTGTAGGATATCATCTGGGTCAGTGTGCTCTACCCTGACCTCAGGAAGTGGCATTCGCGAAAGTCCATCCGCGTTACAGTGTTTGGTGGTACTCTTGTACTCAATTTCGTAGTCGTAGCTGGCAAGGAATACAGCGTAGCGAACCATGCGAGAAGCTGTCATTGCAGGGATGCTCTTAGCGGGATGAAATATTGACGTGAGCGGTTGGTGATCAGTCACCAATGTGAACTTCCGCCCACACAGATAGTTGTTGAATTTCTTGACACCCCACACGAGGGCTAAGGCTTCCTTGTCGATTTGCGAGTAGTTTCGCTCAGCGGATGACAATGTTCGCGAAGCATATGCGATTGGTCGCTCCGTGTTGTCGGGCATTACGTGGGACATGACGGAGCCCAGCCCGTACGGTGATGCATCGCAAGCTAATTTGACTGGCAACTTTGGGTCGTAGTGGGTCAAGACTTCCTCAGATGTGATCAGAGTTTTTGCCTGCTCGAATGCTGTCTCACATTCTGTAGACCACGCCCATTTGTGATTTTTCTCCAAGAGCTGGTGAAGTGGGTGTAGAACAGTGGAGAGGTTAGGCAAGAATCTGTGGTAGTAGTTGATGAGTCCGAGGAAGGAACGAACCTGCCCAACATTAGTAGGTCGGGGTGCGTTCTTGACCGCGTTGATCTTGTCCTGCGTCTTTGTAGTCCCCGTGCGTCAATTTCATGACCACAGAAGACTACCTTGCTCTTGAAGAACTCGCACTTGGATATGTTGAGACGCAGTCCTCGATCGCGCAACACAGATAGAACTTTCTCCAGATTACGAAGATGTTCTGTGTTATCGCGACCGGTGATGAGCATATCATCCAGAATGCACTGCACACCTGGAATGCCCTGGATGATTTGCTCCATTGTCCGTTGCCATATTGCGGGTGCTGATGCTACTCCGAAGGCAAGTCGATTCATTTTGAACAGTCCCTTGTGAGTGTTGAGAGTGAGTAGCTTGCTTGACTCCTCGTCCATTACCATATGTAAGTATGCTTGTTTGAGGTCAAGCTTACTGAAGTGCTGTCCGCCTGCCAGGGTGGCGAACACGTCGTCGATCTTGGGCAAGGGGTAATGGTCAACATGCAAGTTGGCGTTAACAGTCACTTTGAAGTCACCGCAAATTCTTACCCCACCATTTTTCTTTGGAACGGGCACTATGGGTGTGGCCCATTCACTAGTCTCTACTGGTGAGATAATGTTCTGCTGTTGAAGCTTGGCGAGCTCAGCTTCAACTTGGGGTCTCAGTGCATATGGCACTTGTCTTGCCTTGAGGAACACTGGGTGAGCATTATCTTTGAGAGTCAATTTTGCTCGTATGTCTGTGCGTTCCCCAATTTCGTCCTTGAAGAGTTCAGGATACGAGTCTAACAAGGCTTGTAACTTAGCCTCCATGTTCACTGGCGGATGCTCAGATGATATGGCGAAAATGCTCGGCCAGTCCAGTTTGAAGTGGGCGAGCCAATCGCGACCAAACAATGCTGGCCCACCGCGTTGAACAACATACAACAGTCCGGTGTGTCGTTGTTCCTGGTAGCAGATGTCCACTTGCAGACAACCAACTGGTGATACCTTTTCACCAGTGTAGGTCTGCAATTTGACTGGAGTTGACTCGAGTTTCGAATTCGCGAAATGTCGCTGGTAGTCTGCCTTGGAGATTACAGATACAGCCGAACCTGTGTCAAGTTCCATGCGAATATTTGTGCCATTAATCGATGGGGTCAACCAGATCGTGCTATCTTTGCGATGATCCAGATTGTTGACTCCGAGTCGACCGACGTAGGTCATGTCGTCGTCGCTACTGGCTTCCTCGACTGATTTCATGTGTTTCGCCTTCGCTTTTCCTCCTTGTGGTCGGCCTTTGCGAGAGTTACGTGGGCGACTAGCCTGTTGTGGACTAGCACTCGAGCGGCAGACTGGTCGGATGTGACCTTTCTTGTTGCATCCATGACACGTAGCGTCTTTGAAGTGACACTGGTTGGGAGAATGACCAGATTTCCCACAGCGATAGCATGTCGATGTTGAAGTTGGTTGCGGTTTGGCTGCGAATTTGTGGACCGAAGTCTCTGGTTTCAGCTGTTGTTGAAATTCAACTGCGTCTTTAGCAGCAGCTTCCATAGCTGTAGCTATCTCAATCGCTTTCTTGAATGTGAGCTTAGCTTCAGCGAGTAGACGTTTAGTGATGTTGCCAGCCCGCAGACCACACACTAGACGATCACGAAGTGCGTCATTGAGATAACTCCCAAATTCGCAATATTCTGTCAATCGTCTAAGTTCAGCGAGATATGCAGTAACTGATTCTCCCTCACGCTGATCACGCTTGTGAAAGCGAAACCTCTCTGCGATAACAAGCGGTTTGGGGGCGAGGTGTTTCCTCAGCACATCAACTAATTCTGTGTACGACTTGGTACTTGGCTTTTCAGGAGCAATCAGATTTTTCAACAATCCATAAGTCTTTGGGCCTATCAGACTGATAAATGCGATCGTCAGTGATTGCATTTGCGGCAAAATATTGATCTAGTCTTTCAATATATGTCGGCCAATCCTCCTCAGTACGATCGAATGGATCGATCCTGCCTATGAGCGAACCAGCCATGTTGCAGTCAAATACAGTACGTGTGTACGCTACACGAGTAGGCAAACTAACAACGGTAAGTCTATGTGTATATGTACGTACCGAACGCCGCGAAAACTAGACGGAAATTCCGCTCAAAATCACTGATTTGCAGCTCTCCCCGGCGAAGAAAACTACAAGTAGTCAATGACAGACAAGTTCTTGTTGCTAAATGTTAACAGTAAAACTCATCCTCGTCGCCAGTTGTCATGTATTTACGTGGGTTATTCCGGGAAAATAATGTCAACAATGATACTGGGGGCTGCCATATTGGAAAGGTGATTTATTATGCTCACGTGACCTGACGTCATAACTGAGTTGATTATCAATGGGCGCATAAGTGATATAGTTCCAACATACAGTTCCGGTCATGCACAATACATTACACATGTTACCTCCTCCCCTCGATACCCTCGCTCGAATGGGATGGCAGAGCGAACAGTCAGAACCGTGAAGTCCGTCATGAAAAAGTGCCACGAGACCCACCAGGATGTCAAGAAGGCATTGCTCAACCTATGAGCAACACCAATCGATGCTCATCTGCCCTCCCCGGCAGAAATCCTATTCGGACGACCAATCAGCACCACACTACCGAGCAACAACCCTATGGTTACCACCCAGAAACCGTTGGAGAACAACGACCGTCTGGCATCACGCAAGGACAGCATGAAAACCAACCATGACCAACATGCTGGCGATAATCTACCTCCCTTGTACGTCGGACAGAAAGTTCGCATATTGGACCAACTGAGCAAATCTTGGATTCCTGGAGAAGTGACCAAGGTCTGCAAAGAGCCCAGGTCCTATGAAGTCAAAACGCCCAATGAAACTACCATCCGGCGAAACCGATCGCATCTGCACGAACTGCATAGTAAGCCCATATTGCGCAAGCAGAACACGGCAACTGCAGCGGTTGAGCAACCAAAGCGTGTTCAGTTCAAACTACCTCCACGCACACTCTTCCCAACGCAAGGCTATGACCAGCACAAGGTTGAAAAACCCACTGATGGAACAAAAGTCCAAAAACCAAAAGCGAGGCCCAATGCCGCAGAAGATTTTCTGCAAAAGCCTAAAACTACACGATCTGGTCGGGTTGCCAAACTGCCAGCCAGATATGTTCAGACCTAACTTGTTTTATTACAAACTTCCATTGAAGCATCTGTTTCACCAAGTGTTTGTTCTTTATTGACCTTTAAATGTTATACTTCAGTGTTACGCAGTACAAGTGTTAGTTTGTTCCTGTTAAAGTGGACACTCTTCAATTACCAAGGGTAAATCATTTTTAAGCATACACCTTCATTAGTTCATATGCAAAATCAATATTTCAAAATGAGGGGGATGTAGAGATATGCATATTCATGTTGTTCATGTACAGCGCATGCGCGCTAGGGACTCAGGGCAATAAAGCTACCGTCTCACCTTATTTCACCATCACAACACATATAACCATGTGAGTGTGTAGTCCATGTAGGCAGCCATCTTGTTTAGACACAATACACTATTCTTAGCTAGCTGAAACATCTCAAGTGTGCTTTATATTCAATCCGATTCATCCGATCATTACATGGTGTCAGAAGTAAACTTTGACAAACCTCATTAAGCATGGATAACATCAGGCCCCCAGATGGACTCAGAATGGATGGACATAATGCTGAAAATTGGAGAAAATGGAAGCAGAGATCAGGTATGGAGAAGAAATTGATGCATGTGCAGTGCTGCACCTTGCTGCATGTCATTGGAGAAGAAGCACTTGAAGTGTACAATTCCTTCACATTTGACAGTGATGAGGATCGAGACAAGCTAGAAATGGGTGTTTACATAAATGTGGAGGCCAGTGTGTGACATTAGGGTCAAATTTTCAAAATAACCAAATTAAATTCAGCTTCACATGGTTTTGCAGTCTAGGGTCTATATTTTGTCAAAAACAAAACCATTTTTCTGTAACATGACCCTTTTTAGAGTAGCAACATGATAAACTAGCATCTGGGACACAAATTTCACCTGTAACAGTGACACCAAATTGTTAATTTCTTTTAGAGCTCTCACCAGGTTATTGTTCAGGTATGGTAAATACATGTTGCTTTTTAAGCAATTATTTGCAACACATATAAGTTAAAAACAACTTTAACACTATCCTTGTCCAACATTTGTTGAAAATCAAATATCAAGTTTTAGGAAATTTGACATATTATGATGATTACAAAAATGTAGCTCTCACTTGACATAAAATTATATTATTTTAAGACAAACACTCACTTGTTCTCTAACAGCAAGTTTGACAGCCAAAACTGCAACTATGAAGAGCAATGAAGATTTACAAACACCACTAGAAAGCATGTTATTGTAAGTAAAGCCTGGTGTTAACCAACATTTCACCTGTAACGCTGACACCAAATAGTCACTGTTACAGAGTGACAATCCTACAACTAACTAATAATAATAGTAATAAATGGTATCAAACCATTTAAACCTTTCTATTTAGTGATAAGCTTGATGGCTTCTACATCAGATACTTGTTTCTGAGACTGGAAGTTTAGTTTGTTATAATAATCATTTCACCTGTAATGCTTACACCAACACCAAAAACACTTTTATCACTTTTCTTCACTGTAGTTCTACTTTAACCTGTCCTATGCCAAAGTTTTCATTGTATTAAAAAACTTAGTCATTATTTTAGCTAAAAAGTCAATCATCAATCAAACAGGTGCTTTTGCTTCATTGTTTCAGCTGAAAAGAGGTATTTCACCTGTAACGGAGTCAGTGTTGACACCAAACCTTTATTGCCTCTTATTTCAAATTCTAAGAGAAGGATTCAAAATGTAATGACATCTATATTCCAAGCCAATCTCCAGGATATATTTTTAGTTAAACTTGTTGACAAATACAGTTTGACAAATTCAGAGTGCAGCTGCAAAGTATCACACTGTAACGTTTTTTGATGACACCAAATGGATCTGCCAATATTTAAAATTGGTAAATTTCTTGTACTTCTTTGAATTTCACTTGTGGTCTTCTTTAGTCTCTTTATTTAATAAAAGACTTCAATAATCACTTAAAATTTAGAATAGTTGACAGTTTCTACAAATATTATAATCAATGGTAAAGTTCACTCTGTAACAGGATTTGCTGACACCAAATGTTACAGAGTGATGGTATTTTTAGCGGGCATGTCAAAATGATACAAAGTTGCCGATGTACGAACATTGTGTTTAATATTAAGTTTTGGGTTATCATCAATCATTTAGAATTAAAAAGGACCAAATTTATCAATTGAAAAAATGAAAACTGTGCACCATTGGACAAGCTGTAAAAATGTCACGCAATTTTACCTAAAAATGTCATAATTCTGGCTAATTTTTGATCAAAATTATACAAATGCATTGTGGTGATTTAATTTTTTTATTTCAGTGGGTACATAGTGATATGGGCAATAAAGTAAAAACACAAATATTAGCAAGCTGGTTATTTTAACATGGAAATGGCCCTTGAAAGGAAAGAACATGTGCATTATACCACTGGCCTCCACATTTATGTAAACACCCAAATCCTCCTCAAGAAATTCACTGAATACTTTGAGCCACAAAGGAATGTGAGCTATGAGAGACATGTGTTTAATACACGCTTTCAAGCTCCAGGCGAGTCATATGATCAGTTTGTCACCGACCTAGAGAAAAGGCACAGACATGTTAGTTTGGGACATTACTTGATAGCCTTATCAAGGACAGAATTGTCGTTGGCATCCATGATGATGCAGCTAGAGCCAGACTACTTCGTGAGAAAGATTTGAATCTGCAAAGATAAAAAATGAGGTGACGTCATGATGACGTAATCGTGCGATTTTATGTGAATTTTTGAATTGTTGGACCTTTAAGCCGTATCTCACTAATGCAACATGCAAAATTCAAATTTCCTTTTGTATTTGGTTTGTTAGGTAATAGGTATATACACAATTTTTTTTAATTTGTGACGTCACGATGACATCATCAAAAACGCACATTTTCAAAACACATATAACAGAAGTTCCCATCGTCATGAAACTTTGTGGATAGTTAGATAATGTCACAAGAATGTTCAATTTGAAATGATGTCACCATGACGTTATCGGTTGATATTTGTATGATTTTTTACTATTTAAGATTTTATTCCGCTTACAAAATTTTACACCTTCTTTCAAGACCCTAATGAAAACATTTGCATTGACAAGTGTTGTTACGATGACGTCATCGCAGGACATATGACGTCATGTTAAAAGGTGTAAAGTCCTATATGTGAAGAATTTAGTCCTGTACTAAACTACAGTATCTTCTTGCATATGGACAAAACACCCCCCCCCCCCAAAAAAAAATATGGAAAAGCCCTATGTTCTGTTCATCAAACAGACATAGCTCTAGTTTTTTTTTTTTTCCCAGTCATTTTTGCCCAAAGTATTTGTACACGTATTTTTGTTACCGGCACTTTGGCCACTAAAATCAATCCGATTGCCTTTATACTCGGCACACACTTAGACCAGCATCTGCAGTTGATCACCGAACATTGACGTCATCATGAAGACATCACGTGTCAAACGTCACATTTCATGCGATTTTTCTGTTGTGACCATTTTCTAGCAGAATTCGGCTAGATCTGACAGATTGGGCTATATCTCCAGAACTACAGGTCCGATTAGGTTAAAAATTGGTATGTACCTAGACCGGGATGTGTTATAGATGAAAATAGAAGTGACGTCACGACGTCATCATGGGTCACGTGACGTCACGTTAAAGATTAATAGATCTTTGAAAATCAATTGTGAGAGACCTGAACTTAACGTTTGCGGGAATCGATAGAATAATCCAGGGTCTTCATTTTTGATATTATGTGCAAAATCATGTGACCCTTCCTTCCGGTTGAAACCGGAAGTGCCTTGTAATTTAAAATTGGTGAAAGGTGTGAATTTACTTTCAACGATGTATGCTCTGGCTAAGTTGTTATTTCTAAATAAATTATAGTTATAGATGCAAATTGATGTGACGTCATCATGACGTCATCACGTGAAATGTGACATCATAATTCAAAGCTCTATGAGAATGAAATCACATATTATATGACACAATTTATTTTAAACAGAACTACACATCCTTCCTGGAAGTAGTTGAAACTTTACATGTCACATATGTCACAAAAAGTTGCCGAAACAGTTTGTTTGTTTTTTCAGGCAAATTTTTTGTTTGTTTCATGAGGCAATCTCATTTCAATTTCCATAATTGTTTTAAAAAAAAAAAAAAAAAAAAAGAGACAGAGAGACAACAGTCACCACTCAACAGTTAAAAAAAACCTGTTCCGAAACAAACAAAAAGTGGACAGTTGGAAGAAGTTAAAATGTAAAATGTTGAGGATTAGGAACTTGTTTTAAAGTTGTACTCTGAACCAGCTTTAGTTGATCGCCTTTATCAAGTGGATAAGTGTTTGGTTTAAAAGGGGAGAT